AAAAACAATTTTCTGGGCGATATAGTAAAACATTATATTAAGAATAATTAGATATTTTATTCGTTATATCGTACAATAATTAAACAAATAATATTATATAGTCACTAGTCTATTCGATGCAGTACGAATTTGGCATTAGCCTTGTCCCTCGGCATCGGATTTTGTAGTGAATGGGGCGATACTACGTGACGGTTTTATTGAAGGGGGCGACGTTTCGTTAGAAGTTGAGAAACACTGGTTTAGAGCTTTGTGTAAAACGTTTCGGAAAATCTCCACCAAAATTGATATTGTATAGTAGAAAATACAAAATTGGCACAGAAAACTGTTCTGAGTATGCGGTTTCGACATTTGGAAAAAATGTACTTCAAAATTCAGCCGCTGTGACAAAATTTGGCGCTGCTGTCCGCTTAATATATATTTACAGTAGAGCGTCGTTTATCCGAAGGTCGGTTATCCGAAACGCCGGTTATCCGAAGGAATTCCAGTCGATAAATTTAAATTTTCGCCAGTGCTGTGGCGCTGTAATCTTTGGCTAGTCTTCGGCTACTCAAATATTTTACGTTTTCGATACTAAATTAACTTCTAAAGTATAATTTTTATTGTTTTTATATTTTATCAATATATTTATTTTGTTCGTACAAAATAAAAAAATAATTTTTAACGATGCAATAGTCTTCGTTAGGCTTATCATCGACAAAAATTCAACGCGAAGCGACACGCAACGGAGAAAAATTTCAACATGGGATAAATTCATATATTTTTCCGTACATAATTGGTTATCCGAAAAATAAGTTATCCGAACCACCCCAGTCCCCAATTGATTCGGATAAACGACGCTCTACTGTATTACACTTTATTAACTTTAATTCATTGTTAATTATCTCACCACAATTTTTATGATTTTTTAAAAAATATTTTGATGATATTGTTACTATTAATATTTAAAATTTAATTTTTAATAAAATATATATAGTTTTACATTGTTAAGAATCATTTTGGGTGAATACGACTTTTATCAATTACAAGATGTGGATAATCTTTTGGGTCCTCTTTACTTTATAACATACGTTTTCTTTGTGTTTTTTGTATTACTGGTAAGTACATATTAAACCGTACATTTTAATATAGTTTGTATAGTTTATTTTTTTATTATAAAATTTTACAATTTTAGAACATGTTTCTGGCAATTATCAATGATACTTATGCAAACGTAAAAGAAGAAATGAAATCTGAAAATACAGAATCTGGCATATTTTCATATTTAAAATTGGTAAATTAATTTTTAAATTCTTTTTATATTAAATGAAATATTTATAAATAAAATTACATTTTTTAAAATAGGTTATTAAATCTAAATTCGAATCAATAAGAAAAAAGTTGAAATCTGATGATAATAAAAAGTTAGAAAATCAACTTGACTTCGATCAAACTTATGTAGCTTTAAAGGCTCACGGATTAACGGATTTAGAAATATTATATTTATTTGAAAAATATATTATTGGTAAACGAAAATATATCGAAATTGAATTTTTAAAAAAAATAATAGATGAAACTTTTCAACATAAAAATATTATTTCAACTAATATCGAGGATACTCCATTACATACTGTTGAATATTCAGATAAGTATGTAATTATTACATATAAATTTAAATTTTTTTTTATTTATAATAAAAAGAATATATATTTGGTAAATTATTCTTATTTTTTCAGCATTTGAGAACTTCTTAAGTTATGCCTGAATTGAAAATTATTTAAAATGTCGAGTGATACTTTAATGGGCACATTTATATTGAAGTTCAAGAATTCTATTTATCTTGTCGTTCAAACTATCAATTTATAAAATGTTTTTAAAAGTGAGTTGTACTAGATATAACGTTTCTAAGAGTTTTATGTTTCACATATATGTGAGAAGTCGCAAAGATACATCTCTCCAAACTGTCATCAGAAAAANTTTAATATCAAAAACGTAAAATATTTGAGTAGCCGAAGACATAGCCAAAGATTACAGCGCCACAGCACTGGCGAAAATTTAAATTTGCCGACTGGAATTCTTTCGGATGATTGACGTTTCGGATGATTGACTTTCGGATAATCGACGCTCTACTGTATTTATATATTGTTTTACAAAAAATTATACTCAATTTGTATTAAAAGGATAACAATTACAAGTCAATTTAACTTTAAACAAGTAACATCCCTTTTACTTTCACATATACTGTAGAATATAACATAGAGAATGTATGGTGATCGGTCAAATTTTGACCTTCCATTGTTTTTTTTTTTTTTTTTTTTTTTTGCGTTCCTCAACGTTTTGACACAACCTGAAAACTGTGTGAAAAAATTTTGTATGTATATGTTGGGGTCTATTTTGCATTATATGTCAGGTCTGGATGAACTAAACTTTTTGAAACTTGGCAGGATTATTTCTATATAACCTAAAGGGTATTGATGCTTTTACATTTTGGTTGTTAAAGATCGAACTATAAAGACGGGGCCACAGATCATATCTCCAGTGGTGTTGTATTTAATACAAAAATTTCACTCGTTATTGATACTTTTAATTAAAAATAATCATGTCTATCCTCAAAATTAATTCTTTTGTTTTTTATGATAATCAATAATAGTCGATAAAATTTATTATTATTTTTTAAAATGTCATAAGAGATGGTGCCACACATAGTTTTAACTTTATGTTAACATATTTTATAAATTAGTTTTTTACACTTAAATATTTTTAAAATAGAGAATTTTATCATAATTGAACAAAATTACTTCTCTTAATTTTTTCTTATTATTGAAGTTTTATATCGTTCAAAATTATCGGACTTGCTAATTGTCCTCTCAAATAGAGTTATCAGGTACTTGCGGATAAAATCCTGGAGAAAATGAATTCTTCTTGAAAAATACTGTGGTACTTCAATTCTAAGATATGCGATAGATGTGTAATTTACTATACCAGTGTAAGAAATACATCTAAAATATAGAAAAAAAAAACAAGATTCTTCATCTTAGGAACAGTTTTTAGAATAAAGTTCTCTTGTCGCTAGATGGTAATCGGAAAAAATCTGGGACAATACCGGAAAACCGAGACATCTAGTAACTTTACTCTTAACCTGCCGAGAAAGTCGAGCAAGAGCCCTTGCCAGCTTTTTAATTATAATGTTAATAGATTTTGTGTTTCGTGAATAATTTTTACAAGAATTATATAATTTAAAATTAATATTATTACAAAAGACAGGAAAAATAAAATCATAATATTAAATATTTTTTCTGTCAAGTTTCCTAAATAGAATGTTTTGTTAATATACCTTTGAAAGCTCATATTGTGAATATTGACATTTATATTCAACTTTATTAAAAAGTTGAATATAAATCGTACGTCTCGTACGTTTAAAAAATTATTTTAAACGTACGAGGAAACGTTATCAAAAATAAACTATACGATTTTTATAAAGTAACATTAAGAAAACTTTTATAAAAACAAGAAATTCATTTTATTCATTTCATTACTTTTGACGAATATAAAAGTATTTATTTTAGGTGGACATTTTATCGTGATTCGAACATGCTAAATTATCATTATAAGGGCGAAGTTGGTGAATATTACAGCGGTGGTTTCTACATTGATTTAGGAATAACGAAGAAAGAGGCACATCAAACAGTTTTATTTTTGAAGCAGAATAAATGGATTGATAGATCAACTCGAGTAATTTTCTTAGATTTCTCACTTTATAATTCAAACGTTAATTTATTTTGTTTGATAAAGTAAGTTAATTATATAAATTCGTTTATTGTTTTTTTTTTAAAATATATTTTAGATTATTTATATACCGTATACATAAAATTATAACTTGTTTTGAAGTACATTACAATACCTTAATGGATAATTTTTGTTTCCTTTTCTTCAGATTGATATGGGAGTTGCCTAATACAGGAGGAATTTTAACATCTTGGAAGATACGTTCTATGAAGTTTCTTCGATATCTTTCACCGTGGGACAACGTTATTTTAGCTGTTGAATACATTTTTTGCTTTTTTACGCTAGTCAACTTTTTAATTATGTTGCAACAAGTAATTAACTTTTAGAAAATTAGTTTTAATTTTTATAGAAAATTTTTGTATAATGGTTTTTAACCAGATTGTGAAAGATGACTTTTCTATAGAAACGAACAACTGTGCAATTTATTTTCATAAATTGTTTATAATGTTTATAATGTTTTCCATTAAGAATTGGGTATCTCAAGTTAAAATCTTAATGTTATATCTATATACGGTATATAAAATTACATATCCTGACTGACTGACTAGTTGATTGATCTAAAGAGGTGAACCTAAAGAGGTGAAATTTGGTACACAATTAGGGTACGTCATGAAAACGCACACTAAGAAGGGATTTTTCGAAATTTCCCTGCAAAGGGCGATGGAGAGGATTAAGGCTTAACCTGAAGAACGGCTTCTACTGTACTATTTTGTTTTTTTGTTTTTAACTACGATTTAGTAGGGTACGCAATGAGAGTGCACACTAAGAAGGGATTTTTGGAAATTTAAGGATGATAAGAAGAAACAAAAAATTTTTCGAATGTCAAATATTTGCAAATTTATTTGCAAATGTTAGGAAATCATTGTTTACGAATCGATACAATAGCGTTAAAGAAAATTTTAGATCGACTAGCGGATGAGTGTAGCTTGTAATCCTACAAGTTTAGTAGGGTACGCAATGAGAATGCACACTAAATAAGGATTTTTGGAAATTCCACCGCGGGGGAGAGAGGAAGATGATTAAGGCTAAAAAGTCTTAGCCCCGAAAGGCAGTACCACAGATGTGGTTTACAAAGAGGTACTGGGGTAACTGAAACTTTACTGTTCTGTAAGTATTTATACTTTAGGAATTTTTAGATAACGTCATTTATGTTTCGAAAAAAAAAATCAGATTTATCGTATCTCGTAATCCCATAGTATTTGAAACGTGAATTTAGGTGCATTAACAGTCCATGGTTTAAAACAAATAAAAATCAGTAATTCACCAAATTAGTAACAACTAACGATTGAGATTCTTAGTGAAGTACCGAGGGAGGGTTATTTCTATCAAATTGCAAATTCCGCGAAGCCGCGGATAACAGCTAGTTTAAATATAGAATTAATTCTATATATTTTTTCTGTTTTTAATATAATAACATCTAAGTTAGACTTAAATGTTAGACTTAATATAATAACATTTAAGTTAGACTTAAATGTTATTATATTAATGGATAGGCAGAAATGAACTTTCTTTCTTAATCTCTTAAGCTGTGTTTACAGTTAAGCTAAATATATTTGACAATAGAAGGATTGTGCTCTCTTAAATTTAAGATAAAATGTATTTTTTAAAAGTGGATATTTTAAATATTGAAAGGATGTGGGTAATGGAAAAAGTTAAGAAACACTGGTGTATATAATGTATGTTACTTAATTATAGATCTTTATTTCAGATTTTAAGAAAAAGGAAACGTTATTTTGCAGAAATTTGGAATTATTTTGAAATTGTTATATTAATTGTAAGTATTTAATAAGTTTATTTTATAATTCAGTTATTTATCAATTTATTTAGCTGATATCAAATTTCTTTCCTAAAATTCCAGGAAAAATCTCTTAATCTCTTAATAAATAAACTTTACTTTTTTCAATACTTCTAATTTATTATTCTGTTTACTAAAGAGTCAAAATAGAAAATAAACTTGGAAGATACGTTCTATGAAGTTTCTTCGATATCTTTCACCGGGGGATTGAGTAGCCATTACATCCGTTAAAAAATTCGCTAAAGAACGTTAGAAGACTGTTAAAGTCTATTATAACCGTTCAAAATTTAAAAATTTCCAATTAATCCCTACTGTAAAATCTTAAACCCTTATAATTCGATTAATATTAAACGTACTGCTACCCCCTTTTAGGACCTTGTTGACTAAGCTAACTTCTAACTAACCCCCTGGTATCGCCCCAGAGATTAAGCCCCCCGATAGAATTTTACGAAATTAAAAATTAATTAACTATTTCCCAATCAGCATACTGTAACAATATATACAGTCGACCCCCTATAATTACGGTCTTTATAGTTACGATTCCTATAAAACTACGAAAAAATTGCTACTGGTATCCGTAAAAAATAGTAAAAGTTCCCTATAAACACCTCAAACGTCATCGGGAAGCCGAACTACTTTCCCGCCGTCCGTAGCGCCACGCTACGGAGAGATTTCTATCGTCTGGACAGTATTATATAAATTATATATAAATTAGGTACTGTACATATAATTATATATTAATTATATATAAATTAGGTACTGTATATATAATTATATATTAACTTATTGTAACTTTGTTATAATTAAATATATAATTTCCGCCGTCTAGCGTGGCGCCACGCTACGGAGATTTTTACGCTAACTATCGTCTGTCAGTATGTAAATTAGGTACCGTAAGTCTAATACAGTACTGTAATTTTATACATTTCTTGTGAAAGAAACATTTCTTATTCAACGGCGATTAAAATTATTTATATTAATGATGTCTCCGAAGTTC